TTTTTCTAAAAACAATTTTTAAATTTTCCTTTTAATAAAAATTTAAAATTATGAAACATGAATAGTATTAAAAAAACTGAAACACTTACAAACTTCACCAAATATGCTCTTAAATACAAAATTTCTTACTTTTACCAAACAAATTATTACTAACATATTTAAGTCATTTAAGACTAAACATGAAACCTAAAAGTTTCATTATCTTTCGCTTACTATCTGGCCAAGCTTCATTAGCCATTAAGTTCTAGGTTTGAATTCAAGGCTTTTATCTTATTAATAGGCTAACTGGCGAAGTGTTAAGTGTAGAGCTCGACACAATCCTCCAATAGAATAAAACTTAACATACACTTAAAGTTAAAAAGATTACAACTTGGAGTAGGAAAAATTCCCAACTTTCATTCATAAAAAAAATACATGTCGGCCTCTCAAATTTCTAGCCCATGATTGAAGGCTGCAGCTTAGTGGTCTCTTTAATTCAAATCTAAACTTCTAACCTCCCGTCAACATTTCTTCCCTTCTAATTTTCTTGCTACATTTTGATTTTGTAATTGAGATTGATTGATAAACGCTTCAATTTAATATGTTGATTAAAAAAATTATTTCTTTTTAATTTAAAATTAAAAACAAATAAATTTAAAAATATAGGTATGTATACATATAAGATGTAAAAATTGATAAAATTTATTATATTTATATTATATTTTTAATAATTAAATAAAAAAATATCAAAAATATATTTTGAACTGAATATATCTCAATTATTTTCCTTTTCTAATACAGTATACCAAACACCTCTACATTTCGTCAGCTGTCACATTTTTGGAAGAAAAAACAATACCCAGAAAATCCACCTTTCCATTCTCTTCTGTTATAAACTAAAAGACAATCACATGGGTTGTTTGCTGTCATGACAGTATAATGCGTGTATCACCCATAAACCCTTCAACATATTCAATCCCTTAGCTTCAAATTCGAGGTCAACTTCGTTGGATAAGCCTATAATTGATACTTTGATATGTCTATGATACTGTGTTTACCTAATAATATATGTGGCTAAGCATATATCCCAATAAAATAGATGTTGTTCATGAACTTGTAGCACATGGCATCCTACCCGCTTGGCCGCATCATCTCCATTTCCTAACTAAATATCAGGATATATAGATGAAGAATTGAAGATACATGGGATTCCCATGTGGGTTTTTGGGTATTGTTTGGAAGGGTTTTTGGGTATTGTTTGGAAGGTATTTGAAGATTTGCCTAAACCATGGAGGAGGAGAACGTTGGTGATCATGACACTTGTTTTGAGTCATCTTCTGGTGGGGATTATAAGAAGGTGGAAGCTTCTGGGCTCCTGGATGAGAGTTGGTTCTTTGGGAACTTGTTCAAGGGAAGAACAAGGATGTCAAGGTGTTATTCTGATCCATGCCCTTCCTCAAAATTCAGCCAAAGTTCTTCTGCAGCGTCCACCAAGGACAGAAAGGGTTTGGCTCGTGCACCATCATTGCCTCCATATCTTGGGAGGGAATTAGAAGAGGTTGAAGAAAAGAAAAGCAATAATGGGAAAATCAAAATGAGTCATTTGACAAGGCAAACATCGGATGGAAACTTGCTGAAGGCACCAAAACCAGTTCCTAATGAGAACAGTGTAGAGATTCAAAAGAAAAGAAATGATGGGAAGGAGAAGAGCAGATTGATTGGGAAAGGGAAATCATCTCTGCTGAGGGCACCTTCCTTCCCAGTTTCTATTGGAAGGGAAGAATTGATTGATGAGGAAAATGAGAATGATTCCAGAATGAGCAAGCTAATTTGGCAAGCATGGGCTAACTCCTCTGAGAACCAGCCTCAACGGCAGACTCCAAAGGTACCAATGCTATAATCCTCAGTTTTCTCCATGACATTAGAACCGAACGGGATCCCAAGTCAAAGTTAATTCTTCCAAGTTATATTTCTCAGTTTGATAGTAGAAAACACATCTTTAGATTCCATATAATGAGTTAATTAACAAGGAGATTTTTTTTTTCTTTTTAATTTTTTCTATTTGATTATCTATCTAATGTTACAACATATTGCATTTGTAGGGTGTGAAACATAGTCCTAGCACCACACCAAGGAACCGGCCACCAAGAAAAATTGAGGCAGTAAACATTAATGCCAAAGCTGTAAAGGAAACCAGTCCACGATCCGTGAATCAAAGGACACTGAAGAAGAGCCTAAGTAATCTTGAATTCCATGACCAGAAAGGGTTCAAAGACTTGGGGTACTACAAGGAGATGGCGAAGCAAGACAAGGCAAGGAGGGCAGATTTGTCTAAGGCCTGGATTGTTCAGAGTTTTGCAGCTCAAACTTCAAATTGTGCAGCTAAGACTTCAACAGAAGACATGAAGGCACAGATCAAGTTTTGGGCCAGAGCTGTGGCAACTAATATAAGACAAGAATGCTGAAATGAAACCCATAAACAAAAAACTGAGTGTCTCTGTTTCTGCTTCCTCTTCCTATTGTTCTAAAATTTAGTTTCTGGGGTTGATTGGCTTCCTCTTGACAAGCAAGAAGTGTGAATCCAGAGGGCAAAAATAGAAGGGAAGTTCTCTGGTCCAGTACTTGAAATTCAAATTTTTTATGTAAGAATTCTTTTGGTATCTCTGTTGATACACTGACAGAAGCTAACTAAACATAATGATTGATTCTTCTTTATTGTAATATTTCTGACTTGATTTCAATAGCTTATACTCTATGGTTTTCCGTTTGAAAATTTTTAGCCCTTGTTGTCCCCATTGTTTGAGATCATAGAAACTTGTTTGAAAATTGAAACTAAGGGCGGTGTTTAATTAGCACATTGGAAAAGTTCTCCTATACAACTGCTGTATGTTTTAATGTTAATGCATAAAATAATTAAATAAGTGATTTAGCAATAATCTCTTTATTTCAGTAAAAAATTTTGAGTTTGAATTGTATGAATTACGAGTAAAGTGAGTTAAAAAGAAAAAAAATTACTTTTTATTATATAATTCAACATTTTTAAAAAAGATATTGGATTTGAGGTAATCTCTAAAAATTCCAAGAAATCTCGTAAATTTGAATTATATAATATGTAAATATAATAAATTAAGAGTTAAAAAAAATTATTTCTTATATAATTCAAAGTAGAAAAAAGCAACTATTTTTGTACTCATCTAAACTCACATAAATTTTTATAAAGTTCACTTTTAATCAAACACTCTATATTGGTAAGAAGAATCCTTTTTATAAATTTGGAATGTTTTAGTTGTTTGAAATTACTTTAGCAGTAATTTTCTTTTAATTAAAAGTACGAGGCATAAGGATGAGTTGCATTAGATGTGCTAAGGGACATAAGAGGTTTTTATCTTATTGTGCAATTGAAAATAAAATAAAAAATTTGTTTGAAACTGGAAGAAATAATTTTAATTTAATAAAAATCTAGATGGTGGGACCCAGATGATCTATTAAGCAAACCAAAGCAGCAGATACTACACATTTCTTCTTCATTTTTTCCATTCTTTTCAAAAGAAACAGAAGCAGAAGATATCGATGACAAAGCATCCAGCATAAGCGCCAAGGAGACATTCCCTCCCTTTCTGTAAAACCCCCCCAACCCAAAATGCCGCAGTCCCTCCATCTCCTCCCTTCCACCTTCCCACTCTCTATCTCCCCTCACAACCCCTCTCTTTCACTCTCTTTCCACAAACCCACTTCTTTATCCACTCTTTCATACCACTCTAAATGGCTTCCCCGCAGGTTGCTGGCCGTGGCAGAAGAAGCCACCATTGGCGCAGCCCAGGAAGAGGGTCCAATTGAGTTGCCACAATCTTCCACCTCAATCTTTGCCACCAGCGATGACCCTACACCATTACAGATTTCAACCAGTGTTCTGCTCACCGGTGCTATCACTGTCTTTCTCTTTCGCTCTATCAGACGCCGTGCTAAGCGTGCTAAGGAACTGGTCTGTATCCTGCTGGGTATCCATTTCTTTTTCGTATTGATCGTTGCAATTTTGTGTGTTGCTTTGGTTTTGATGAACTGGGTTTCCTGTATCTGCTTCATCTGCTTCATGTTATGTGGAATTTAAATCAGATTGATTGGATACACTGGACTTCTTTTTAATCTATTTGGAGATTTCTCAGATATTTTACCTCAAAATTCAGAATTTTGATTTGAGAGCTAGTTTTGGTTGGTTACGTGACACATAAATTCAACATGATATAATGCTGCATTGCTTTCAATCATTTAGGAACTGGGTTTTACTGCATTTTCATAAAGTTCGTGTCTTTGAATTGTTCTGTTTACTGTATTTTAGACTCTGTTGATCATGAGATGCTTATTTTAGTGATCTGCAATAACTAGGCCGTGCAAAGGCATTGCTCCTATGTTTCCAGCTTTGTGTTGTTTTTATAACTTGAGTTGTATTTTAAGGAAATGATATTTTCTTGGTGTAGAAATTTAGGTCTTCAGGGGCAGAGAAATCATTGAAGGAGGAGGCACTGGACAGCTTGAAAGCAATGGCGTCAGCTCCAATTGATGCTAAGTCTCGACCTTCACCAGTTCAAGCATTGTTGGGTAGCTTAGCTGCTGGTGTCATTGCACTTATTCTTTATAAGTTCACCACCACTATTGAGGCGGCGTTGAACCGCCAGGCAATTTCTGATAATTTCTCGGTTTGTCCTTTTATCCCCTCTCATGTTACTTTGTTGGGTTGTAGCAAAAATTAGTCTGCCATGAAGTCAGAATGATTTTATAGTTTTACATAGAAACCACTTCTCATAGTATGAGGGTTCAGAATTAACTGTGACGTTTTAATTTTATTGCCTGTTTTCACTCTAGTTCTGAAAATCATTTGAAGTACTTCTGACTTCAAAACTTCACTTTGTTCTTAAATAAGGAACATTTTTTTTTTTTAATATGGTAGATTCCTTGAAAATTCATTGACCTTTCTCGTGCCATAATCAATAGCGTGTTTAGAATGCATATAAAATTGAATAAATTGGTGGATAGTATAACTAGTTTTCAGTTATTTCTATCATAGCCTGCTGATCAAATTGGCTGTTGATTTCATGCTTGAAAGAAAACATTATACTGGGTAGTGGGACATTTTTATGGTTTCACATGTAATCATGAATGATACATTTTTCATTAGAACACCTTCTATCTACAGCATTAATAGTATTATTGCATGATAGCTGTTCCCTTCCCCATAAGAATGCTTGAAATGGTGTATTTACGTGAATTATTCATCATATTTTTAATAAATCTTTCTGTTTTCATTCTTTCAGGTTCGTCAGATAACAATAACAATAAGGTAGGTCTGGCACTACTTTCTTCTAGCACTGTAAGCTGTAATTGTAAATTTGTGTAATGGTTATCTTCTATTTACAGGACTATTGTGAATGGATTGTGCTACCTTGCAACATTTGTTTTTGGCATCAACTCTGTTGGTTTGTTCCTTTATTCTGGCCAGCTTGCTATCAATTCCCTCATGGAAGGTTCTGCAACTAAAGAAACTGAAAGTAAAGCCAAAGAGAACTTAGGCTCATCAGTGGTTGAGAGTCCCATAGATGACACTGAATTGACCAGAAGCAAGGACGATCAAAGTTCAGATGATAAACAATAATGGTAGAGATAACTAAAACTAAAGCAGAGGAAATAGCTTTCTGTTCTTTAACTTATATGTATTTTGTAAAAGGAGCTTATCGTTTTTGACAGTATAATGCTCTTTAATTCTCAATTATCCTCCTTATGTTGATATATATGCATTCAATGCTTCTTGTACTAGGAGGTAATCCCACTACTTCTTGTTCATATTAGTTCTGCTTAAATTGTCATTCAAGGGAATGAGTTCATTGATGCTTTCTGACTAGTAATGTTTGTATTTAGGTTTGGTGGTTATAAGTTCTCATTCTTTATTCTTCATATGTATAATCTTTGTTTTGTTCACAAGGCTAGGATTTTTTGGCCAATTGACTTTGTACAAGTTTTTTCTGACCAGAATACTTTATACGTAATATTGCAGACATATTAATAGGATTCTCTTTTATAGAAATTGGAGTGGTTTAGGAAAAAGAAATGTTAGCAAGGGCTGGGTAAACTCCCCCTCCCTGCTGTGCCTTTTTTCTTTCCATTTCTTTCTTTTTCTTTCAGGTGACAGTCCTTGAGCTCCTGAAGATTGCTTCTGTTCCCAATTGATCTATCACAATGTTCGGTAACCCTTGCTGCTGCAGGTATCTCCTCACCAATCTCCATGAAAAAGTTATGGCCCTGTCTTTGTTCAAACTGATGAAATGGAGTTGAATTTGTGTCAAGCCTGTGCAGAACCACCACCATAATCACTGAAGCAGCAAACATAGGTATTGGACCAAAGATCCACAGCAGCAAAGTGGTAGCATGGTGAATTGCTCGTAGTCCAACTGCCTAAGACACACTTCCTCTTATGACTGCTTTCTGAACATAACTTGCAGGTACATCAGCATTTGGCATACTGATGAGAAAATTGGCATGGGCATAGTTCATTACACATTGAAGAAAAGAACCAAAAGCCACAAGAAAGCAGGTAAGAATACAAATATAGTTGATAGTAATCAGTGATGAGCTTGTGTTGCCATAGATTAATTTACTTCTGAATATATTATGAGTAGAGCTTCCCAGCCATGCCCCAATTAGAGAACTTAGAGTTAGTGATGTTGTGGCAAAGAAAGTTGCTTCTGATATTGTGCTGTTGATTACTGTCAATGCTAAACCTCTATCCTTTGCCTCAACCTGCATAACCCTATGACAGTATTAGGAGTCAATCACTATACAACAAGGAGTGATCCATACCCTTTCCACCCTGCTAAAAGAGGGATTCAGTTCCAGAAATAAATTTACCAACTGAACCAGTTTGAAACCTTTGCAAGTAAAATACATATAGTGAAATGCATTGATTTGTAAGGGAGGAGAGTAAAGCTGACCTGCAACATTCTCCCATCCCAAGCTTTCTTGCAGTGGTTCTCAAAGCCAATGGTTGTGGTTTGGGGAAACTTTAGACATCTGTAGAGAAGGAAGACATGGCAGGCAGACATGATGAATAACCCACTTAGGACCAGAACTACGTCCAGGTACTCCTTTTTCCATGCCATTCTTTCTATTTCAGTGTTTGCCTGCAGAGAATAATCAAGGTAATCAAAGATGATCTTCATAAAATTTTAAGTAATATGTTCAAAGTGTGTTCATGGTGGATTTGTTCAACTATTAAAGTTGTGGCATTTGTCCCATGTTAATGGTGGGATGATGTCTTGTTCTTTTACATTTTATTTTTATGAACATCTCTTCCATAATTCTTTTATTATATATAAATGTTAGACGAGTTAGGAGAGATTTAGGAAAGCAAAGGTCTATCTTCTGTTAACATAGTAGCACATCTTAGATGTATTATTAAAAAAGAAAAAAAAGAAAAAAAATAAAAAAACACTTAATCGTAGGATACATGAAGAGAGATACATGATGTACCAGCTCTCAAATCCAATAATTTTTTGAGGTTGAGCATCTTCTCCCCTATCAGGGCTCCTTTGTTTGGACTCTTGGAGCTTTCTGGCAGGCTGGGTACAGTTAAGAAGTAATTGATAGCTTCAATACAAACAAAAGGA